GATGTCCTACCTTATATATCCTTCTACAAGCAGTCATCAGATTTTGTTTCTCCCCCATTACATAGACTGAACTTTTGCTGCATGAAATAGTAAGTTTTGTACTGCTGACTCTGTTATAGTTTCATTTAAACATCTAGACTGAATCATGTTGGGGATCACCTTTCCTACAGAGCATCTTCCATGCTTGAAATGTGGTCTTATGCAACCAAGCTTAAAGTTGTTCAAGCTAAACCAGAGAGAGTCCCTCTTTTTCAATCAAAATTTTCATGAGATGAGCAACAATGTGAGAATCGAGAGAGTTAATATGGTGATTCACTGGGTTCCCCTCTTAAGGTTAATGTTTACCCCATTAAGCTTCTCATGTCACTTACTTTTCAGCTGAGGTCATCTTTCTTGGAACTTAAGAGGAACAACAGAAATTCATGTGATTCTGAGATAACTGCTGCTGAAATGAGAAAGTCAGAACTCGTAGCTGCAAAGGAAAATTTGGATAGGAGATTGGCTTCTAATTACCAGATCAAAGCACAGCTCCAAAAACAGCTTCAGAACATTCTGGTGACCCAAGCTCAAGAGAGAAGCAAACCATCTCAGCCTATTGGTGGTCGGAAGGCAAGTCAATAAACAAAATTTTGATCGAGGCTTGCAAAGCAATGACTATTGCTTAAAAATATATTTGAAATTTGAGACACGAAGACCAAAATTAAAAAAAAATTGATCATTCAAAAATTATATTAACTCTAAAGTTTAAATTCAATATATATGTACACATAGCGAAACAGAAGTATCTTTTTTTCAAATAGGAGTATTCTTTGTCAGCAGTAGAAAGTAGAAACCAATCTATCTTAAAATACGTAAGATAAATTATAGATTTATTACACATGTAATTTCATTAAATTAATAGTAACAATTATAAGAATAAGGTAAATACAGATTATAACAAGACATAATGCCTTAAATTCTGAATATATTATCAAAATTGTTCGAGGAATCATTGAATTGAACAAGTGTAACTAACCAAATTTAAACAATTTTTAAGAAATAAGCCTTTTTATTGATATACTAATATATATTATAAAATATGTAACAAAGATTTTTATAAATTATGATTATGATTAGTGAAACTTACTTTTTAAACTGGATAATTACAAAAGTTTTAGTTCCAAAAAAAGAAAAAAGAAAAATAACAACAACAAAAAGAAGTTGAAAATTACTATATCTCAAATTAAATTTTATTTAGTATTGACAATATTAAATTTGCAAATAATAATAAATTTTGACATTTATTAATTTTTAATTTCTTTTTTTTTGTTATTATCTCAAAAAAAAAACGATATAAAAATAGAAGTTTTGTTGGGCCTAGCAAAATAGATGCCCAATATTCTAGTGATTCCACCAATCTTATTTACCAACCAGTTACAGGCCTGTAAGGTAAGAGCAAGTCCACCCAATTACAACGACCCATTGACACGTGTTTCATCCCTGTTGACCAACATTACAAGGAACGAATATGTTTCCTAACCCTTCATTTCCTCTCTAGAATCTTCCATGTTAAGCAGAGAAAAAAGCAGAAAACCCTAATAAAGGAGTTCTGCAATTCCCATTTTGTCCCTTTTTCGATTACTTACTCATGTCTATTAGGAGCTTCTAGCTTTTTCCACTTTCACACTCTGTATAAAAGCGTCTTCAAATCAGCATCACCGTGCTTCGCACTACGTTTGTTCAGCTTCTTCGCGTTCGTCTTCTCTGCTTCCTTAGCTAGACCGATGGCTGAAGATTTGGCTTTGGATTTGGAAGAACTTCGTCACTTGCAGAGCATGGCAAAGCGACCTCGAAGCATCTCTCTCCTCTCCTCCGAAATTAACAACCTGGAAAAGGTATTTTTTGTTTTTTAAGATAGAAATTTATCATTCGATTTTGATTTTCGATTTTTTTTGTTAATAATTTGATTTTGCTATGGAGAGTATTCGAGTAATAGCGTGTGCTGGTGAGAAATGATTGTCATTCTTAGAAAGGGAAAAAATCTGACAGATAAAATTTTTCCATCATTTATTAGTTGTTAGCCAGTTCGGAATTATGATAGTAAATTATTGGTATTGGTACACAAATCAAAACTCGGCATGTGGTTTTTCTGTTCGTGTTAAGTTTCACTCTCTTAATAATCATTCGTTACATTTCACTCTCTTAATCCGAAGTTGTGAGAAACAGTTTGCAAATGATAGATTTGTCAAGCCATAAAGACTCAAGAATTGGAAGTGATCTTACTGGTCTTTCAAATACTCATTACGTTTCAGTATGCCAAAAAATCCGTTGCTGTTCTATTAGCCATACCAAGAAGGGCTTTGATTTTGTCAACAAGTTCGCCTTTCATCACATTCTGATTCATTCTGCACTCACTTTGTACTTGTTGCGCAATAGAAATGAGATTATAAAAATGCTTTGAGATCTGAAGTTGGCCACGATCCTGCTTGATGATCTGCAAGTAGTGCTATTCCATTTTCCTCATTATTTATTAAAAAGCCCTTTTGGATGCTCATAATTCAGCACTGAGGAGATCTTTCCTGCAATTCAAATTGATGGAATGGGAAGGACTAAACTTATGCATAGTTGTGCTTACTCTCTTTAACAATTACAGTTCTTGTGGCGTTTTTCATGTAGACAGTAATTGTTTGAATTTCTTGATAAGCGCTTCCGATAATCAGACTAGTAGGGCTTAAGGGTAGTAATTGATGCATGTGAAAGTGTTCTGGAGTTTTAGTTCCTGGTTAAATTTTTGCGTGTGGTGCCTCGTGTTAAGTTTTGTTGATTTAATTTGCAGTTATCAAAGGAGACGCCTGCACCTCCACCACAGATTCCAGCTCCAATTTCAACTGGAACTAAGGTGCCATCTATTCCAGCCCTCAAGTATGCAACACTTAGTTCATTCAGTTGGGATCAAGATAATGAGAAACTCAAGGTAAGAACAAATAATACTTATTTTTTTATTATTATTATTAATCTAGCCACCTGAATTATAATGATATTAGGAGCCTTTCTCCAGATCAGTATTCTCATGAGAGGACATTTATTTATTTGGCATTAATGAGCAATAACATTAACATTTTAGTTGGATCTCATTGAATTTTTTGATTTGAAGTAGATTAGTGGTTATGAAAGTTGTAAATTCTTTGTTGCGGCTACTATGTGGTTAAGATATTATAATCTTCTCTTTCCTTGACGTTTAAGTTTTCTTTCTTTTGTCTAATCTCCTGCTGCAGATATATGTATCTCTAGAAGGAGTTGAGGAGAATAAGATCGAGACTGAGTTCAAACCAATGTCCGTTGATGTCAAATTCCATGATATCCAGGGCAAGAACTACCGATGTGCTATACCAAAACTGCACGGTGAGATAGTACCTGAGAAATGCAAGGTGTTGGTCAAGCCGACAAGGGTGATCATCACATTGGTCAAGGCTTCCAAAGGAAACTGGCCAGATCTTCACTTCAAAGAAGACAAGGTAGTGAAACGTTGTGAGTGAGATGATGGTTCTTTTCCCTCTGCTATATGTTAGGCTGATTATTTTTATTTTTATTTTCCAATGCTACAGATGAAACCTAATTTGGATAAAGAGAAAGACCCTATGGCTGGAATCATGGACTTAATGAAGGTCAGATTTGTCTCTAGTCTGCTGAGGATGTTGTGGTTAATTCTTATTTCAGTGATATTAATGAGATTTACTTTTTAAAGAGGACTTCTTTTCTCACCGTTACTGTTTGATGCAAAATTAGAGTATCTAAAAACGAGATGTGAATTTGTTAGAACGCTTCTCTAAAGATGTTCAATATTTTTGAGCATTGCAGAATATGTATGAGGAAGGAGATGAGGAAATGAAGAGAACAATTGCAAAAGCATGGAGTGATGCTAGATCTGGAAAAACGGCTGATCCTCTAAAGGGTTACAAGTGAGAGAGATAAGATGGATTTAATTATTTCTTATGTATTTCTCATTTTTTAGAGTATGGGTTGATTTCCTTGATTTGAGTCGTATACTGGGTGGCGAGAATGAGGAAAAGAGCCGTATGTTATATTTGGATTACTGGGCTTAATTCGATGGCATCTGTTGTAGGTGGAATGTTAAACTACTGTTTCTAAGTTCGATGTTGGGGGAGAGATGCTCTCTCGCTCGTTCTTTGATTATTTGGATACTTAGGGTTCATTTACAGGCCTTAGCTGCGAGTAATTCATCTTTGAAAATGCTGCACATGCCTCAGAATGGTTGCACTCAACATAAAATGAGTGTGTTACTGTTAACCTTAGATATATATTAATTTAAAAATTGTAGTATATATTAGGTCCTTTAAGTTTATCTCAACTTTTAGTTGTCTCTTGAAATTTAGGGCCCAACAACTTATAAGATACTTATAAATTGTTTTTTAAGAGTGATTTATAAAATACGAGACAAGTATATGAGGATTGTTTTTAATAGTGATTTATGAAACATGTTTATGGAGGGTTTTAATGGGGCGTAGTCTCTTAATTTTAACGTTTCCAACACTTAGTTTAATTTAATAAAAATTATTTAAATAGCAAATCTGTAATTAAATGCTTTGTAAATTTAAGTAGTAAATTCGCATATGCTTTAAATTTTAATTTTTTAAGTATTCAGAAAAGTGTATATGTATACACACACATGATAAGATATTAGAAATACTAGAATATTAAAAGTTTAAGCATACGTAAAGATGCATCTTTAAAGTGGCAATAAACTAAAATTTAACACAAATTTTTTACCTTAAAAATTTGACAAATTTAAAAATTCAAAATCTACACTTAAAACAATTTAAATATTTTTTAAAGTACGTGACATAACGTGCTATAAGGATTATTTTTTTGTCAGGCGTATCATAAGGATGTGCATGAAACATAAGAAGCAACTTTTTTTTGGTGTCTATTTTCAAAGGAAAAAGTAACGTCTTCCCTTTCGATGCTCATTATTTTGATATAAGATGTTTTCAAGTACTCAATATATCTGATACCGTGTGTCTTGGTAAAAGCGTGATACAAATAGTTGAATGACAAAAAAAAAAAACAGTTATGAAAGCTACTTAAGTTTGATAATACTAATCAGATACCAAATAGTTGAAAAGAAAAGCAAGGTGCGGGTGTTACAAATAAAAGTATGCAGCTAAACATGCAACTAATGCCTTCAATTTTTATTATTTTTTTCTCCAGAAAAACCATGACATTCTGCATGACTTCTTTTTTCTCACCTTTGTGCTCCTTCGTCAAACGCCAGAATTAGTGCACTTCTCAGTTTTCACGGGGGTGCATGTATTGGCAAATTCAAGATATGACAGCAATAAATTTACGTAGTCTAACTCAAGGAAACTTGCGTCGTGTGGTAAGAACGCGTAATACGATCGGAAAAGCTACCAACTTACCGAAGCTACATGTTGACATGTTGTCAATGCAGAATTTGACTACCGTAATCATCATTGAACTTTTCATATCTGGAAGCAAGCAGATGAGCAGATGGCCGTGTGTTCTTCAAAGCTACCTTTATGTCTTCTGGTTTGACTGGCCCCACTTTTGGCAACTCTGCATTTTTTACATTCGATGTTAGTGTATGGCCAGTGAAAATAAATCACAAGTACTGAATGTTCAAGCCAAATAGCTAACACATCCTCCCGTGTGGATGGATCATATTTGAGAAACCAACTCCAACAAACTTTGCTCAGCAAATACTGCTATCAATTTATTGATGCAAATTTCTTTTTCCGAACATGACGTTAATTAGATTTAGAGTATATAAACGACATGAATAGAGAGCAGCAGCTTGATAATCATCAAAATTTCACGAATTAGTCAAATACTGCTATAAATCCATTGATGCAAATTTCTTTTCCCGAATATAACATTAATTAGATTTATTTAGAGTATATAAACAACATGAATAAGGAGCAGCAGCTTGATAATCATCAAAATTTCACGAATGAATCTATCTAATTAGAGATTTGTGACGACTACGATGCTAAAAAACAGATTAAAACGGTGTTTTAGAAGACATGTTATAGTTGATTTTATTTTCTGTGACGAAAAATATGAAGAGACCACCCCCCCCCCAAAAAAAAAAAGCATTCAAGAACAGCATTTAAAAAAGAGAGAACTGTTTCCAGAAACACATACCACACAGTAATGATGGATCTTTTCCCAGATAAACTTAAATTTCAAATGAATGAAAGGGTTTGCAGATTATCAAGAGTTGACAAGTGAAATCGTTAACACATAAACAGTACTGATCATTACTAAATTTAACCAAACATTGTACGACCTTATGTATAGTTATGGTGTGGACAAGTTTTAGCAAATAATCGCATGGAAGCTAAATTTTGAAGGTTGCATACCTTCTTCAGGCACCAGCTCTTGTCTCTGTTCAAGTTGTGACATCAAGCGTCTCAAGGGCTGCATTGCTGCCTCTTTACACAGTAAACGAATATCTGAGCCTGAATATCCTTCTGTTTGCTCCACCAAGAAATCATAGGGGACCTGCTCCTCACTATCATATGGTGGAAGAAGGTCCTCAACCATTGCTCTTCTTGCTTCTGGTTCTGGAAGTGGTACAAGGATCTTTGATCATTGTCAAGGGACAACCTTTGGAGTAGAATCACCAGAACTTTAGTCCCAAGATTGATTGTAATTTGACGTCATACATATATGTGTGTGTATGAAATAAACTAGATTTACTCCCTCCATCGCCAGCATAAATGAACTGCCGTGAAGTCTTCAACACTACACTAAACAATAAAATTGGCAGTATATCGATGATATCTTACAATATGAACCAAAAGAATATCTCTGATATCTTGCAAATTGAACCAAAACAACAATAGATTGCTGTATGTTTGAAATATCTCAACTTAGTCAAATATAAGCCCAATAGATCTCAAGAATCCTGAGAGTTGAAACACAAATGGAAACTTAAACTGCAGGTGACATTTCCCATTATTTTGATATGGAATAACTATGTAACCTAGTTATAATGCCATTTTCATTAGTGGGAAAAAAAGAAAATATATTCAAATTACAAAGTCTGAAAAAACATGAGCTCATGGAAAATGCCCCAGTGGTTATTTCATGCTCCAGAAAACTGATATACAATATTTCTTTAAACTTCCTTCCCCACGATCAGTTTCCTGACCTATAGTTTAAAAGATCAGAGGCAGCACAAGAATGATTGAACCTTTTTTGAACTGCCGTACATTAGACTTGATCATGGGATAGGCTTTTGAAGAAACCAACCAGGCTTTTGTAACGCTTACTTTAAAAATACGACGGGGGTATGCAGGAATAAATGTATTGTGTATATAATTACAAGGATATGACTGTTAGTGCTAGGTTTGTCTGTGTTCCATGAGTAATGTAATTATTTCTGTTACATAGTATG